CAATCTTAAGAGGCACCCCTAGTCGAGCCGTCGTGTATCCAGGCCCTTTTGCTGGTCTCTCGGACTCTAAGGCGCTAATGCGAAGTCTGCAGTTCAGCCAAAAACAGTTCCCCCCTAAGAAAAAAACTAACCTCACAGGCGAGGGAAGCATTGGCTGACAGAAGGATAAAAGTGTGCCGGGTTTATAGACTTTGGAGGCAGGGAAGAACAAATTTCCGTGTGTTAGTCTTAAGAAACCGCTAGGGATTACTAACTTAGATTTAGATTCTACGATACATCCTTGGAATTTGCCGGTAATTTGGCTTCTTCTCAAATCAGGCATAAAGTGCGTGTCTAAATTCTTGAAAGCATCGACCAAAATGCTTGGAAATGTTTTCAAGCAATAAGGTTGTAAAATGGACTGACAGAAAACATAATTTCAGGCCATTTTCTGCAGATGTATTTCGTTTAATTATCCTGCCACACACCTGTGTACACTGTAGTCGGACAAAATGGACATTTGAGTAGTATGTTTTCTCCGTCTGTTTTCTGTGACTGTATTAAACAGATGGGATGCCCGAAGAATTCAGCTTTTACAGTCATTTTAGAATGTTACAGGTGGCAGTTCAATTTTCAAAAAGTTCATAACTATGGTCAATCGCGTAACCTAATGATTCAACACGAAGAGTACCTACTACATTGCTTCATGAGTGCTAAGAGACCGTTTAGGGGAAAGGTGTCGGTTATGAGAAGTTGCGTAACTGGTACACTGACAGGGTGGGGTTGTGAACTAGGCCCTTAGTCCAGTTTCGAGCATATGACCAGGCCTAATTTTTAAATTAACACAGAGGGAGAACGAGTGCGAGAGGCTACGAGCAGAATAATGTTCAACCTAACTCATAGACCTTCATAATGCCCTATAGAAAGATAACTGTCATACTGCTTCCATGTTTAGAGGACTAAAGGATCGCGGAGCTACTGAAACACCAAACAACATTCCGTGATTGCATGCAGCGTTCATCCTCTGCGGGCACTAGGACCGCTGTATAAGGACTCTGGACATCCTGTTTCAGAGACGTGGACTAACTATTAAGACCATTCGGGCATTTCGAAGTCCATCTGTGGCATGCCCAGCAAATACTTTACATATGACGGTGCAATGATTTTTTTGACCTTTCCATCGTCGGTGGGCAGTGACTGTTGATCGCCCATGTGGCGTACTGTGTTCATTTTCGTCAAGATCTGGTCCGTCCGATGTGGCGCTCGAACCAAATGATTCCGCAGTCGGAGAATAGTGCACCTAATTGCATCGTCAAGATCTGGTCCGTCCGATGTGGCGCTCGAACCAACTGATTCCGCAGTCGGAGAATAGTGCACCTAATTGCATCGAACCTGAATTCACTCCGGTTTTGAGGAGATGACAGAACTAAAAATCTGGTTGGCATTCCGCTTTGATCTGGAGCTCGGTCTAGTGGCCCAATTGGGTGGCCGCAAAGTCACGTAGCTTTATGCATACTGGACCTCCGGTCCGAGCCGTGGTTCTCCTGGCCTGTGGTTACGGTATGACCAGATAACGATGAAGAGTCGGCCAGATATCCTTATTGCAGTCTCCTGCATCTTCTGCTGCACGTCTCAATAACGCACTTTCTCTGCACGTCGTAATCCCAGCCGTTACTGGTCCCGTGGGTATCAGAAAGCATTAAATAAATGAAGGAGGCCAGAATCGGACGCGCGCAAATGAGGCGGCATCCTTCCCATGCTACGGATGAATCTAATAGAGGAAGAATTCTCCTGTACGGGATATCAGGATTGAAAGAGCTTGATTGCAGTGCACACTGGCACTGACTTTGCTAGGTCCTTAGGATGCCGAAGCACGATTCCCGCCTGCGGGTACTTCCACCATGATGGACTTGGAACACACCGATAATATTCGCGCCTCAGAACAAACAGAAACTGTTGACTTGACTTCACATGCAGAAAATGGGTGCGAATGTTATTCAGGGCACAGGTAGTTTAAGATGGCAATAATAACTTAAAATAGCCAGTCTCAGCCCCTCTGTATTTGCGGGGCTGCCTTTGAGATACCGTTTTGTTGTTTCTTAATGAGTCTATCTTTTGCTGCGTCGGACTCCATTAGAAAGGTTATTTAGACCTCTATCCTGGTTAATGTACCGACCCCAGCTTTGTATAAGGCCAACCGTAATATAAATTACCCTTCGGTGCAGGCTAAGAAAGACCTGATGCGGCAACGCCAAAGACTTTAGAAATAGTAACCCGGAAGACACACATCAATGGCGTAGATGAGGCGAGCAGCGCTTACTAGACCGTAGTCTCCACGATCGACATAAGATCGTTTTTTGCGGTCTAACATTCGTTTACAATCAGACGGTACATCAGAGCCATGGATTTCAAGTCCATTCGTCTATGAAGGCAATGCAAGCAAATATGGAAAGAATGAAGGCTTTGCGACCGACTAAATCTCGATGCCGGAAGAAAGGTACCGCGATTCAGACTCCTTCCAATATCAGTTGGAGACATGGGGAGATCAAGGTCTACTACCGCTCAACCACCACACGAGTTCTAGTCTATATCAATCTCTCCTAGTCGTATGCTATTCGGTCTGGGGTTTAGTAAGCTTGTCTCCTGTCGCCCATTCTGTCATACCACGCTATTGATTGGATTCTCGGGAAGCCCTACAGGAAATTGACGGTGTTAACTTTGGGCCCCGCCACCGGATAACTGATCTCGACTACGTTAGTGAGATCGCTTTACTAGCTTCATGCATTGACGATCTAAAGTCTATGGTGTCACGAGTGAATGAGGTCACCAAATTCGTCGATTTATCCATAAACGCTGGGAAGGCTAAGGTGCTTTCAAGCTGCATCCCTGACCAGGGGAAGGCACCTTTCATTATAAATGGCTGTCAACTTGAAGATGTAGGCAGTTTCATATACCTTAGGGGCGAGGCTGCTGTCGAATGGACAGAGTAAGGACGACAACGTCTCTCGAATCGATGCTGCCTGTCGGGATTTCTGAAGCCTTCGAAATTGTCTATTGACCCGACGCGACATCTCCATCACCACAAATATTCGCAGGTACCGTGCATTCGTCTGGTCATTCCTTCTGTACGGTTGTGAATACTGGGCTGGGGGAGGGGGGGGGGTGGAGGACGGGCAAAAACTGGAGGCATCTGGCCATCACTGCTTGAGGACCGTCCTATGAATGAAATACGCCGAGTTCGCCTCGATTTAGACAGTCCGCACTCGCTGCGACATCATCGCAGGGATATCTCAGGCCATTAAACAAGGACGAATGCGGTAGTTTGGACACGTTCTTTGTCGTCTACCTCATGGGCTAAGTGTGGCTGCCATCGACTCGGCACTGTTGCTCACTTGAAGGCATCGAAGGGATCAAATCAAAACCTGGGCACAGTCCGTCACGACATGGATTTAGTTTGCGGACCCTTAGTATTTGGTCTCCGTCGCTGGCGAAGAGAATGGATTGAGCCGTCCAGATCTGCTGCCGCGGATCGCCACGCGTTTAGAAGTACCTTCCATGACATCATCAAGGCCGGCTAAATCAGGGGTGATCGCAGTCGTACCAAGTAAAAGTAAGTGGTACATGGGGGATGCGGAGGGAATTGTGGAAGATTAGGGGTCGCAAAACTTACCACAAAAGTAAATCGTCCCCGTCCTTATAAGAGCCATGAGAGCGGCCTCAACAGATTGTCTGGGTGGAGGAGAGGTTCGCATGTCGGAGAAAATACTTGCCAGGCAGGAGAGTAGACGACGCTCTGAACAGGTGGGTTCCGTGGCGCTCACCTGACAGATGACCTGGAAAATGATTTCCTCCAGTCGCATGGAGGAGTACTGGGGCACGCTATTGAGGACCAGACCGCTCGCATCGCCTTAAACAGATGCAAAAAACGGATGTCACGCCAAGTAAAAGTGAGCGTCGGTCGCAAAAATTCAGTCAATTAGCACAGCAGGCGAAAGAGGACGGTCAGACACATCGGCAGTGCAATGCAATGGCAGGACACTTGCCATACACCAAGTACTGGCCTTTGGGAATAGCGATCAGTACACTTGGCACGATACCTCGCGCGGTTTCCCATTACGGGGCTTCTTTGTGCTAGAGGGAAACGCAGCGCATAGTGGTCTAGTACCTTGCCTAGTGAGGGACCATTAAAGAAACAGAGAGAGCGCGCGCATTAACCTTGCCTCACGTATTGGGCAAATGCTTCCACATGCCTGGAATTTTCTTCCTATGTACAACCCTCCGTCGTCCATATATAATTGCAGTGCCCTTGTAAACGCTGCGTCACAACCTCGTGAGAATAGAAGAAGCTCATAAGCGGTAATTGGATGCCGAGTACGAGGTAAGTAAAGAATTGTACGGGAATATTCACAGGGCTGAGGCTAGAGGGCGGGGGTAGTTAACGGGACTTAGAAATGGCAGGCAATTGCTGGGGTGCCGCATTGTTGCAACGCAGATTGATAAGCGGAAAGATTTGTCACCGAGCTCACGCACGCAGCCAGTTGTCCGTGCCTTGTTCACATTTCAAAGTGGAGTCAAAGACAATGATGGTAACCACCGAGGAAAGGATCGAACAGATAGTTTTTAACATGTAATACGTTTAGAACTCTTGTTCATTTCCAGATACCTGGGTGGGAGTTCAGCCGTTCCCAACTCAGTGCGACGCGTGACTCAAAACTTTTCCATAAAATGCACCCTCTATATTTACCGAGAAGTTGCAGACCATGCACTTAGAAGGACAATATGAGTGTTTATACCGTTCTGCAAAACTGACGGAGCAGCTCAAAAGTGCATTATAAGATCTTTCCAAGAATGCCCAGGAAGGCCCGTGGAGAGGTCGCCTAGGTCAACTGATCGTACACCACCTGGTTTTTTTCAATGCAGCTTTCTGAAGTTAAAGGGTTTACAAGTATGTACCCAGAACCGCGGAACGGTTAAAGCAGACTATTGTTCGACAGACAAGGTTAATTTCTGCTGACACTTAACACTTAAGTTCGGAAAAAGAAGAAAAAGCGGGCGATCACTGGAACATTGATCGCATCTTCTTCTTCTAAACTGCTTACTGTAACTCTCCTCTTCGCTCCTATCGGAAACCTTACTTTACGTATTCTTACTTGGGGAGGATGTTGGTTTGAAAACGGAATCATAGGCAACAATTGGAACTGAAGTAAGTGTCCATTTCAATTTGTAGTTTCGAGAGATAAGTTGGATTTTGCGTAGTATTTTGGCCGGCGTAGACTGTCTGACAGATGCTGACAATAAGGTTGGGATTAATGATGTTGGAGGAGCTCCAACATCTGCAAGTTAGCAGTTTGGCGAGGAGAGCAGTATGCTTGCGCTGCGCCAAAAATAGGACCCGTCAGTGCTGCCCGAAGATCGAAATGTAGGCGTGAACCTGTTACACGCCAGAGGTGCCTCACGAGCTAGAATTACTCACAATAGCAAAGGCCGTATTAACAGAAAGTACGGGTAGATTGATGCAGCAATGTTTCGGACTTATTTTGCCTTCAGTCAGCTCATAATGTCCCTGGTAAGGGGTCGACTTTTCGTGACCTCTGCCACCTAGATAGAGCTTGTTTGCTTCAGAAAGCTAATGGATCAGTATTCGCCCATTCCATCATGCAAAATCTTGGTAAAACTACAGCTTAGATGATTCCGTTATTCGTCGCGTTCTTATTTTCTCGGTAATAAATTTCCCATTCAATCAAAATAAGTGGTTTGCTTTTGCTCCTCGCTGGTAGGACTCGTGTGCAATTGTACAAATCCATTTCAGTGAGCTCAATGGCTGTCACTGGTCATCAGGAAACTCACAACAGACTGAATGCATGAACCTGAGATGGTAAGAGCTGTCTCCTTATTGATGCTGCACCCCAGCTCAGCAACGTTAACGAACTGTCTTCGTCGAAAGGGCCGAAGCGCATACATGCAAACACAAGTCTGTGCGTCGTACGCGGGAGTTAGATGCGTGCACTTAGTTCAGGGATCGGGGAGATACGGAAGACGGTGGAATAAAGTTGTCTATATGCTGCTTTATGCGAGGCATGTTTCAAAAAATAGCCATCGTTTAGGGCCACTGAAGGTGTAACTGGCTGCGGCGGAGCTGCAAAAAACGGACGACAGTATCAAGGTAAGAGGTTGAATTTTTCTAAATTACCTCATACACGATTCCCGCGTTGAAAGCGCACTAGGCTTTTTTGTTAACAAAGCACAGGCCAATAATTTATTACGATTTTCATTCCCGACGAAGAAAACGCGCTGCTTGTTGCCCTTTCCTCGGCTGCCTCTTATAGCGCGCTTTCTGTATTTTGATGCCGTTTCTCTAACGTGGTGAGATACTTTAGCAAAGTCACGAGATTCATCACTAAAGGACCGCAACCTGCCCTCTCAAGAAGCGCAAACAAACGTCTCCTCCGTTTGATCAAACAAAAATGGAGGAGCCGAATGTGCCGCCACGCACGTTATTAACTAAGTCGTTAAATTGCACTTCTACTTTCAATGGTTGCTATGCGAAATTATAGTTGAAAACGGCAAACCCTTTGGCTGGAATGACACATGTTAATTTGCTTATGTTTAATGCACTTAGAGGCTGGACATTTTGGTCAGTTGAGAGGGAAATCGGTTTCAAATTTGTCGTCAAGTAAGGATACGCTTGTTTCCCCAAAATCGGCTATACTTTCGCTTATACGAAACCAAAAGAAAACTGAGATTGGGTGGGGGGGGGTGGGATAACTGGCCTCAACGCCCAAATTAGCTTCAAACCCAGTACTGAAGGTTTTCAGCAAAAAGAGGAGGGGCAAAAGGGCCTGTTGGCGCTCCGCCGCAGGGGAAATAAGAGGACGACAATGAGCAAACCGGTACGTTGCTGGTCAGTTCTGTAACGAACTGCAGTGGCCTCTCGGCGCCGAAGGAAGGTCTCTTAAGGAGTCATGGGTATTTAGCCGGGCTGGCTGAGCTAATCGCAACACGAAAGAGAGACCTAATTGGTCATCTGCTGGATTGTTCCAGTCTTTGAAAGCATGTCCTTTTGGGGAGACGCTTATGCATTTCATGCACTCTAGGCAAAGCTGAAGCAACATTTGAAAGTTGCCCGATCAATCTTGTTTCACTTCGCAGAAACCTGTCAGTAGACACAGGGCGGAAACGTTGAGAAGCTGAGAAAGTCGCATGACAACAAAACACACTAATTATCACGTATCTTTGTTGCAGCAAGGGTATACACTATAAGATTTCATTCAGGATTTGGTATGAAAAGTAATAATTCAAAGACAACTCCAAGTTTACAGTGATTTCAAAAGCGGATAGCCTGTTAGGAGCCCCATGGAAGTCCCGGATTAACGGAATGCCCCAAATGTATGTCATGCAGCAGCATAAAGACGTGGAAACGCATGCTTGGACTTGCGGCTATTATTTATGTATGGCGTAAGTATTTTCTACTTGTTGCTTTTTAATCTCCTCAGAAATTTACTACTAACTTGGAGTAGATCAGTTTATCTAAGGCCTATAGGCTCTACCAGAAAACAGACGGGCAATGCTGCGGAACCCACTGACAAGCCGAAACCCTCGCAGCTGCGCCATGCAGCGGCAGAATATCGGCGAAACACGCGTGTATGGGCTTTTGGCTAGTACCTGTGCTGTTAGCATGGTATCACCTTACCCTAAAGTAGTTTCTACTGCCTGCGGGCGACAGTGATAATTTGCACATGACTTGGATAACGGTCAATTAAGTTGAAAAGAATTCGGGGCTGTTGAAAGGCAAACACATAGTGAAATGGCCCATTTCTGTCGCCCAATATTCGTTTCCAGTGATAACCTGTAGTGACTACAGTAAGACATGCCTACTAATAAAAACAAAGGTGGGTATTGGACTCAGATTTATGCAGAGACTGATCACGTTTATCCGTGCTGGAAGGGCACGATTAAAAGCACTTAGTGGCCGTGAGGGTGATAATGACCGGAATAACCAGGTTCTGTACGAAATCAGATAGGTAAACCGCGCCTTTTGTGTGAAAAGTTTCAGCTTGGTTAGTTCAGTGCTGTAGGTTTGTGGCATTTTTTGTCTAACCGACTGTCTTGGACTCAAGAGCCTTCTCAGACTTGGATCATGGCTCGCCAAGTGAAGCCTAGTAGTGATATCGTTTAGCTCAAGTTTCTTATTCTCTAGAAAAACAAATATGAAATTTCAAAAGGCTGAAGAGAAGCAAGTATTAAACAGGAGTTATGCGGACATTCAAAAAGACAAAAGGATGCGACAAACTGCGGCATGCGAAATGAGCGTTGTTTTCTGAACCATTGCTGCCCAACACTGCCGAAGCAATTTATTGAAATGATGGCCCACTCGACAACACCACAGAGTTCCCCTTGTGGCTAAAGTACAGTGAGCAAATTAGGTGACTTTGCCATTTTAACTTGACAGCAGGAACCGAAGCCAGTGTCAAAGTCACCTTATTTAAAATAGGAAGGGAAAAGTCAAAAAGTTAAAAGTCGTGCCGACGACCATTGTCGCACTCAGCGAATTCTGAATATGATTTTTTATCAGCGGTTGAACTCATTTTAATTTTTTGTTGGATCTGTCTGAGACGCCAGTCGTATCGCCGTGGAGAAAATACGACAGTGGGTAAACATAAAGGCGCGGGCGGGAATGAAGAGCGAGCTGAGGATTACTTACTGCCCGATCAAATACGCTGCCAACTCAAGACAAAGGCAGACTGGCCGACCAAATGCGGACAGGTGGAGTGGGATGGCTTGAAGATTACCAGCATAGCTTGAGAATCACGCAAAGACACAAGACTTGCAGGCGCGTCCACCCGCGTATGCACAGTCAGGGAGCGGACCATTTGTAGATGCTACTTCGAGTGGAGGACTCACGCAAGCAATGTGTCGTTATTAAGAAAACGATAACTATGAAAACTGCATAATTTGAGCATTCTACTCGGGATGTTTTGGTTATAGATGGAAACACTGTAGTTGAGGAACAAACCAAACACAGGTAGTCAAAATCGCCGGGAGGATTGACTTTAACTTCCATTCGATGTATTTAATATTTTTCGTTGGGAAATCGGACTTTTTGTGAGATCAGAATGGCCAATCCGGAAATTCCGTTATTGGGAGCTGCGAAGAAGGGATCTCATTCGAACAGATCCGTAGGTTGTGATATTAAAGAACGATAGCAGCGTCAAACAGAGGGGTAGGCATAGCTAATCCAGATGACTGTGGTCTGTAATTTACAGGTGGGAAAGGGTAGGCGAGGATGTAACACGATAGCTCGACTCAAAAACGACACGTAAGGTGGACTGTCAACCGCCAGTTGGTACGAACATATTATACTTGAGACTCGATTTTATTGATGGATTGATAGAATACAAAGCTCATGCTATACTATCGAACATACTTAATACAGTAGATTTGCTAACTCATGAAATGTCAACCAAAATTTCGAAATGCGTTCACGTTTCGAAAAGATAAATTAAGTAGTGTTGTAAAACTAATCATGATGCAGCATAAATCTATAATGATCCAGTTACCTCAGGGTGTCAGCTTACGAAAGACCTAATTTTCGGCTGCATGCAACATCTATGCCCTGCAAAAAATGACTACTTAAGTAGCATGCAATTTTCTCATTGATTTTCTATGCCCTTGAAAATTCAATCATATTTCATGGAAAACGTGCATAAAAATATTCCTTCTTCTACTTATTCGGTAGAAAATCACGTCTTCTTCCAATTTCATACTCAAAAGAAGAGTATATTTCGGTTTTAAAAAGTTTCTAATTGCGAGATTTTTTAATACCGTTAAATGGCCGTTCATGAAACGTCATGTATCTGCATTTACGAATGTGGATTGTAAAGTTAACAATATTGCTCAAATCCACTGCTTAATTTTATGAACCTCATATGGTCTCCTCTTAACAGCGTAGAGAAATGCATGGTTTTCCGTACACGGAAAATATACAACTTGTAGTTTTGAAACCCTGAATGCAAGTGTAACAGCAGGTCGGGTTGAAAATTATTCGGGAATCTGAAAAGTTTTCGAAAACCGAATTATAGCCTTCGAGTAAAAAATTAAATGAAGACGTCATGTCCTACCGAATGAGCAGAAGATTGAATATTTTTATGCACGTTTTCCGTGAAATATGATTGAATTTTCAAGGGCATCGAAAATCAATGAGAAAATTGCATGCTACTTAAGTAGTCATTTTTGCAGAGTATAGATCTTGCATGCAGCCGAAGATAAGTTCTTCCGAAAGCCGACACCCTGAGGTAACTGGATCATTATAGATTTATGCTGCATCATGATTAGTTTTACAAAACTACTTAATTCATCTTTTCGAAACGTGAACGCATTTCGAAATTTTGGTTGACATTTCATGAGTTAGCACATCTACTGTAGAATGCAAAAGGGAAAGCTTCGGATTTCACCAAAAGTCGCGGTACAATTTATTCGGAAATAAGAGACACTGCTTTTTATTAACAGCATAAGAGTCAGGACCAATCTACGCAGCGGGAGCAAGAGGATCATGCTTCATTAAAGGTTTTACAGACTATGAAAACGAACGGAATACGGCCGTTCTCGTTCACGTATTCCTGTTAATATATGCAGTCATATCCGACCAACACTTGAGTGCCTTGTCAAAAACCCCTAGGGCGACATATCTGCTTGCAAAGGAGCTCTATTACGGTCCCTAAAACAATTTCCCGAACTTACGTCTAGGCGGCATTTTGTGATTGATAGTACCGGAAAACTCCACTGCATACCACCAGTCGGCACATCAGTGGTGCAGTAAAATTGGAAGTATTGAGGCGCATTTGTCCTTTACTAACATACTGTTTCTACTAATACTCTTACCCGGCGCACATTAGTCTGAGGCCTATACAACTTACTTCTGGATCCTCTATGCAGTGGGAAGGATAAGGTAGTTGGCAGTCCATACGATGTTTGCAAAAGTCACGAACATCGCGTCAACATAAGGACCAACACCCCACGTGTGCAGTTAGAGCATCAAGAGAGTTAGCGCACTGAGACGAACACAACAAGGAACAAGATGCGCAGGCAGATTGGATGGTTCCAAACACAAATCCTTCTGTCCCACACAAGACGATGTAATACGTGTAACGAAGAGGACACAGGAACGCAAAGTTATACTCCAGTTTTTAATTGCGTAACAACGCTTTTGTATATTCAGTTGATAACAAAAAGCAAAAGCCGAAATACCTCCCCGGCCTGTTGATTCGCAGATGAACGCGCGAGGCAGACAATGATGAAAAAGGCAAAAGCCTAGCGCCGTGCTGGGGAAGGCGGAGGCCTCGTTCGCACGAACATCTGCTTATGGCAAGAGTGGTCGGAGCCTTCAGTAGGTACTGGAGGAGAGGGACGGGAACCACGAGCCTCCGCCCTATTCCATTATCTTCTTTTTTTCTCCCAGCTTCTTCGCTAATAGGTGACCGTTAGCAGAGACGCATTCCTGCAAACACGCGACCCCGTCGTCGCGCCCGAGGTTGTGGCGCATTAGCGTGCGCAATTGCACGCGACCCCGACAATGTATTACTGTCAGCAAAAAGCACACGTGATACAGACGATAACGACGGTTCGTTTTAGACGCGGCGAGAAGGCGCTGCTTAACTGCATACAGGCGAGGTCAGAAAGCAAAGATCAGCTGTCGCCCTGAGGCGCAGGCCTATTGACAACCTGATCCAAGTGAATAGTCGGAGGTAGCCCCGATAGTTGACCTTACTTCAAGGCGGCTAAAGGACCTAAGTAAATTCGCTCACCCAGTTCATCGCTGACCCCAGGAGGCAGAAAGTTGAACTCCATGAAATTGAGATAGCGTCAAAAGCGACGGCGCTCCTAACATCCATTCCATTTGACTGAGCGCGTGAAGTTAAGCAGACGCAGGCCCTTTTGGAACACATATGGCAGCAAGCCATTCGCATCATGCCGAAGAATTTCTTACAGCTTCAATGAGCTACCTGCGGGTAAACTCCGATGCGTCCCTAAGTACTTGTAGGGTAGGCCCCACGAGGGTTGCAAAAGGTCGCATTCGTATATTATGAACCTTCCTTCTGGCACCAATAAGTCGGTGATCCCTCCATTATAATCAAGAACGGCATGCCAGTATACTTTCACAAGTTAGTGAACAAAGTCTCCCCCGACATTAATTCCAAAAGAGAGGAAGTGGAAAAAACAACAACTGTCCCCTCTAAGTCCTCGTTAATTGAGGACTCAGTGCTGAACTCGGCACCATAGTACACAAGGTTAGTTACCGGACGGATTCAGAGCAATCAACCTCCCAAGAGCGCGACTGCGTCAGAGATCTCACACAAACGGTCAGGACTCATCACAATACCTCAGATCAATAAGCGCACAAAGTCCAACATCAAGGTGACCAACTGGCGAGAAACACCCACCCTGTTGCTTCTGTACTCCCTCCTTAGAAGAAGAGCGGGAGAACCATTAACTGCCTGGCGTCCTTCGCCGCCTACTCGGCATCTTTACGGACCACAGATAGCACTGGCGCAGAATTCGACATCGGTTTCGCCTGACCCGGTGGAGGCTGCAGTGGTCGCCATCTGCATAATTGGGTCTAAACCAGGCATTGTCACTCGCGTAAGGGACCCTCTCGCGTGACCTGAGATGGTTGGCTTTCTCAGTTCGATCACTTCGGGGTATTCGGCTCACATCACCTGGCGCCTATGGGCCCAAACACATCTTGGCGGATTACTCGCGTAATTGGCGGTTGACGTTCTACAGTGAGTTGTGATCGGCCGGTGAGGCGTGCGTACACAATTGCGTTTGTGTTGCAGCGGGTCGTTTGGCGATGGGCGTGGGAAAAGGGAGAGTGACGTATACACGTCTGTTTCATTATAAACAAATGCACGCGCACGCCACGGCTGCACCCACCTCGTGGACGAGAGGGGAACCCCATCGCTCGCTACGGTTGAACTATGAGTCGGGGGCAAGTTGATAACTCACGCCCCTCCTTCCATCCGCGTCGCCGCAATGCAGCTACTTAACAGTTCGTAGTTACTCCTTTGTTCATATTTGCAATGCTGTTGCACGTCGCCTTACCACTTTAGAGATCCTATGAAAATTTTAAACAGAACGTTGCCACGAATAAATCCTCCATAATTTGCTGAGGATTCGCGTGTTATCGCGAATAGATAAGTTACCAAAAGAGGCATCCAAACATGCAGCTCTTGCATAAACAAAGGGATAGGACGGCAGGCACCTAAGTTACTGCCTAAAAGCTGCGGCAGGGAGGGCATGAATATCGAGACTTTTGCGTCAACTAAATGGCCTAGGAGGCAGTAAAGTGACTATAACTTGGATTTACACGATTTGTTTGCACGGAAACACGTGTTATCACCTCATGAGTGTTACTGAAAAGAGATCCTAGGATTTTGGAACAGCTCCAGGGCGTATTAACGAAAAGATGGCAAGGTGAGTGACTGATAGCCATACATAACTGAGTTATCCGGACACCTTATACTCTGTGGTGCACGTTCTTCTTACTGGAGATACGATGTGGAGTCAAGTACTGCAATAGAAACGCTGTGTACGTGTACAGAGTTGTCTTTTTTGATGGAAGGCTTGAAGCAGAAGGCAGGGTAGCGGGTTGCACTCCAAGCGAAATTCCAAGAAAATGTTCAATAAGTATGGAAAAAGACAAACTACGGGGAAAGATTTCAAGTGATATAACCGACTTCTTTCAGGTACAAGGTAAACCTGGTGACTGGTGTCATAAAACTGGGATGATGGAGCAAGCGGAACCTTGATTACACTAGCTACGAAAAGTTTTGCATCGAACTTTGCGTCTAGCGTTAACGGATGCGATCGAATGTAAACAACCAATAACCATCTGCCGGCCGTCTTCTTGTACAGCTCTGAAGAGGCGGGTGGGGGGTCCATGGGGAGTGAACGCAATAACTCAAATTCCAGAGGAAAGCAAACCGGACAACATGGGAGCATTAATAAAGACTGCATTTGCACGCTACAAACCCATCCTGCTTTTCAGAAATCAACCATGAGGCCGAGGAAGTCAGTAATGTTTATATTTGCTTAGTGGAAATGCCGCGTTAGGGAAAAACTGCCTGCAGGACTTCCCAGTTAAAGGCGCTCAGCCATAAGGCAGACGGTCAGAGTCAGTGGGGGAGTCGGACATCGCAGGCTTCTGAAATATGCATTAATGCCTTCGAGAAATAACAACAAGGTAAAAAGGGGCCTCATTTTAATAGGAAAGGCGAACAAGAAAGTAGAGTCCGCATTGATCTCACCAAGTCGGGCCGAGAGGCGGATAAAAGGGCTCCCAAGTGAAAGGCAGCAGTCATAAATACTTAATTGCGAAATTGCCCTGTGTGTGTGGGTGCAAATGTCCTGGACGCCGCCACCTTCACTATTGCCCCAAATGGGGTGAAAGCGAGGAATTCGCAACACACACACGAATCTGGCAACCCTAGTTGAAATAGGACATGGGCTTGAAAGGATAAAAAGGAGGCCACGGGAAGAGCAACTAAGGCAGGTTTCCTGGTACGGGGAGCGAACAAGTAAAGAGGAAGCAGTAAAAGCGCTGGACGCAGCAGAGGACATCCACTAATGTGCCTCGTGACCTTTCATTAAACAGAGCTTTTGTGACTGGATTGTCTGCCAGCCTGCAGAGTACTTTTCTTGTCGAATACAACATGTTTAGTCCGGCAAGTGCGAGTGTACTCCTCGCCCCGGCAACTATGCGTTATTCATCGTCTCGGCATATTTCTCTAATCCCCCTTAGATTCCACACTGGTGCCTACGGATTAATCAACGGCGTCTACCCGTCCAATGCACTGATAAAATTTTCTTTCGTCTCCAACCAAAGGGACGTCAGTCTTAAAACTCCAAAGCAGAGTTTGCACTCCAGTTCAGTTTCGATTTCAGATAGTGGGCGGCTATGGAAACCAGGAGCCATCTAATAAGGCGTCTTTTTGCTGCGATTCTCAATGGATTTCTTTTTTCCCGACCAGCAGTATCATTTTTTCGTCTAATCGTCAAGGTCCTTTGAATATTAAACTCGATTTTGGTCAGATGTGGTTATGTAGCCCCACCTGAAATAAACAAACCCCAGCCACCTGTAATACGGGACCGGTGGTAATAGGAGTTTTCACGGGTGGGACCGGGGAACGCACAGGCGACGAAATCAAGTAGTTTTAGGCAAAAAGAAAAGCCATTGGGAATGAGCTGGTGTACTTTGAGTGGTTGAGAAATAGTTGCCCTAACCCCTAACTCCAACCCCAACGGTATTGTGTCGATCATGTGGGACTACATAACCACATTTAACTCCCATTTTGACAAAGCGCGCATGAAATTGAACCGAATTCACTGATGATGTTCCCCCGTCAGCTCTGGGTGATTGACTGGCACGAGTATTCCCCTCCTTTCCCATCATTTCTCTCCCAGTTTTCCTCGTCTGTTTAAAGCATGCCTTGCTTACTGGTTCAGACCCACTTATTGCCTTCGAGTAGATACCACAGTTCGACGGCACCCAACGGGGGTCAAATATTTCAATGCTGGAATTTTTCGAGACACGGTTCGCCCGCGAATGTCTCTGATGATGGATTCGAGTGAGAATCCGAAACGTCAGGCCAATAAATTTCTTGTTCCAGTGATCGCATCTTCGTCTCCCAGATGTGCTTTGTTATGCTCTGTCGTACGTGGTTTGTACGTGGACTTGTGAGTTACTAGACACATTCCTTGCAGACTTTGCTAATTTCGTAAGAGGCAAGATCTAACTTGCTGCATCAACAGACGTACAGACTGTTGTTATTGCTCATTATCTCGACTCCATTTATTAGCTTGTTCTGTGTAGGTATTGGAGCTTGAGACGTATAAAATTGCGTAGGGAGTTTTGGTGAAATCCAAATCCAAAGGGGAGTGCGCTTCCTCTCCCCTAATAAGTATACATTAGCGGTAGATAAAGTCGATATCAGGAAGTGGACTACTAAACACAACAAAGAGCTGCCAAGGAGATCGAAAGTGAAACATCTTGAGTGTTCACTTTGTCCGTCGGTTTGTGCTGGATCAGAATCTGAGGTTACGTAGAATTACCTTTCGGCAATCTCAGGCTGTTAGCCACATGTGCTGAAATGTTTCAGACAACGGTTGTCCGTCCCTCGCCGACTGGAACAGGCAAATTTGTTCGTCTCTCAGAAACACTTTACTATAACTGTGTCAGCTTGTGAAATGCTGAGAGTTGCGACTCACATATGGACTGCAGTCTTTAAATCTTCTGCTGGGTAACCTTTTGAGGGAGCGGTTTTGGACGCAGCGCCGAAATTGAATGGGATTAGCGTCTCCCATGTCTTAATAGGATTCGCGTTCAAACACTCTCAGCGCCTTATATGACAGACCGTTCACTGACGATGTTTCATCTACCACTAACTGTGGAGTTGCAAGCTCTTTTCTTACTGGCACACAGTTCTTTTCCAGTACTCTCGTCTCGATAAAAGACAATAATTTTTGCTTTCTCCTTTTGGTCACCCTTCAGGACTGTTAAAGGTACACATCGCAATCATTGAAAAGGACTCTGAGGAGCTTTGGCAACCTCTCTGTCGCACTCATTTCTGAGCAGCAGTCCTGCAGGGACATCCCCATGACATACTGTCGGACACCAGGTATAGCTATAAAGAAAGATTGCTTGCCCCAAAGTCGATCCTTATCTCAAGAAATGGTCGTTGGTGACTTCTTCTCTTGTAGCCTTTGCCGAAAGTTCCTCCGATCATCTCAAAATAAATCAGAAATTAGGCAAAAATATTTCGCAGAAGGTAGGCTGATAAGATATCTCG